TTTCTGTTCTCTTTTTTTTGTAAACGCTTTGGGCTTAAATATAATTTAATCAACAACCATTTTTATAAGTTTCAGTCATAGTAAACCAAAGGAAAGGTATCTGGTGCTAAAAGTGAAAGGCAGTTTTAAACAGTTCTTTCATTTTAATTCTTTATATTAAATTTATGAAATATTTCAAATTTAAAAATATAATACACATCCATGTCCCATCCCAAGATTTAACTTACAGGTATTATACAGCTTTTATTAAATTGCATTAAGGTATGATAGAGCCGCCTGAGGTGACTTAGAGGTGGAATTTCTACACACAGTGACCTTGGCTCGTTCAGTCCTTGGACTAAGCACAAATTCCTGAATGTCGGGCACTGTGGGTTAAGGTTGATCAGACCTGAGACTGACTCTAATAGGATTTCCACCGCCACTGTCACTAACGAGAATGTACAATCTTAGAATGAATACCTCCTTTTTCCTCTAACTCTACATTATAACTGCCATTTGCTTATTTTATTTACAGATCACTTTCACATAATTTAAAATAGACACATTTCATGTAATACCAACTAGTGTTTATGGAACATGGACTGTATGCTTGGCACTGTGCTAAGAGTTTACACATGTCATTTCATTCATACAGAAACTCATGTGGTGATTACTTAAATAACTGTGATGAATAACTTCCTAGCAGTAGTCATTCCTGGACTAGGAGCCTGTCTGATGTTTTGTGCTCGATATGTACATCCTACCCATGTCCCTCAGTACACACCCATTTTCTAGGCTGTGATCTACTTAGGAACACCTGGGTCTTCTAACTCAAATGCCCCTTCTTTTCCTGTTGTTGACCTTTTCACAAGCCATAAAATGTTTTCAGTAGACAGGGAACATCCCTTCCTCAGGCCCAGGGGTTCCTCCATTTTGGTCTTAATACTGATGTTTTAGTTAACACAAAATAACTCCAAGTGTGATTGTTATTACCTTAACTTTGCTTGGCTGCTGCTTGGCTGCTGCTTGGCTGACAGAAATTCTTTTCTAACAATCTTTAAAAAATACAAAAACAAAAACAGTTCCTGCCTCTCTGCCTTAAAAGACAACAAGAAGTAAATATTGAGCTGTTTTCTTGAAAACTAATGCTGACATAACTTGTATCCAAGACAATACATCAATAATCTGTTGCTGATTATCCGAATTCACCATAATTGTTAATCCTTAAAGACTGCCTTTGGCCCATCTTATATCAGCAGTGGAGTTTGCATTTTTGCATTTCTGAACTCAGAGACATGTCATCAGTAAGGTATTTATTTAAACTTTTGGCCACTAACTAGAGCTTGGAATCTAGTTATGACAGGTCACATACGTCTGCTGGTATCAGTGACAGTCACCCTCTCTTCCACTAATGTCCTTGTTTTTAGTCTCTTTGATCCAATTATAGCTCTAAAAATATGTGCACATTTATTTTCATGATACACCTACACAACAGGAGGAAAAGGGTAAGTTCTACAGAATAAAGTTTGAAAACCTCTGTTTCTCTGAAATGTTCGTGGCTTTGCTCAGACATCTTCTAAATGCTAGTAAGCATTTTTTGGTTTATTTAAAACTAAAGTATGTATATTCTGACAAGTTTTAAATTCTTTGTCCATAGAAATCAAATATCCTTTACTAAAAAAGTTAGCTTATTTTAAGACCTCTAGGGTCCTAATTGAAATATGAATATTTTCTCTGTAACAGTTTGCTATGCTGATGGACAGTGACAGCAATAGAGGGGATAAGGACTTGATAATATGGATGAATGTTGAAATCATTGTATTGTTTATGTGAAACCATCACAAGATTGTATGTCAGTGATACTTGAAAAAAAAGAAATATGAGTATTTTTGTTCTGTTTTTGAGTTATGGATTGTTAAGTATAAATTTGTGAGTCCGTGTATGTAAATTCTTCCCTTTTTTATTTCTATACTTCCTGCTTTATTATGTTCTAACCTCAATTTAAGCACTGTACCTTCTAAGAAGATACTATTGTCTGAGAAATTCATTCCATGACTGCATATATCAGGTAATAGAAAAGACCAATAAATGACACTGATTGGGGATCTGACCTAAAGGGGAAAATGGCTTTTTATCATAGACCTCATGAGAATCAGTCAAAACACGGGAAACAAGTTTGCAACATGGAACTAGGAGGAAATCAAACGCTGCCACTACTTCCTGCATTCAGCAATTACTTATTGATTACCTACTGCATTCAGACTATGACGGGAAGGAGACATACCTTAATAGGGCTTTACTGAAGTGAATTCATTAAGAAGTAAAATGACGTATTCTGCTTCGGATTTTTAGATCATTATTTTAAAAAGCAAAGGGCCACATTGTTCTAAGAGAATTTTTGGCCTTTTTACTAATGATCCCAAATTTGTTAATTTTGTAAGATAGTAAGTGACAATTTCCGCACACAGAGACATATCAGTAAGGTCTTTATTTAAGCTTTCTGTTCTACTCAAAATGATATTTAAATACTATTAATCCAGCTCTTTTATACTGCATTTCTTTCTCAGCTCTTTGTCACTGAGGATCCTTTTAATTATTTCAAAAGTCCAAACTGCAATTGAGGATATGTTTCCACATCCATTGCCCCAGATTTAATCAGCATTGCTTTAGTGACAATCTGTGTTTGGACATCAGACTTTAACCCTTTTCTTGCTGGGTGGTGGAGAGGTCTGAAGAGGTCTGGAGGAGGGCGCAGAGGGGTGCGGGGCGGGGGAGGTGAGTGGCTGCAGTCATTTACTAACTGGTTTGGAAGAAAATTAATGGTTTGACTATCAATGAGGTCAGCCCAGCACTGTCATGCCCACCCTCTTGTTAAGAGGCGCTAACCTTAGCGGGGGCTGCGTTCCCTCAGGTGCCTGCCTCTGTGGATCTAACTCTGCTCTGTCCCTGTGAGACAGCCTGCCTTCCTCTTTAGTCCCTAACACAGTTAACTTTGATGACAGCTCAGCCTTTTCTCTTTGGGGGTATAAGCTTGCTTTCTTCTCTTTCAGAAATATTACAAAATAATAAAATTTGCTACATTTTTCTTGGTGTGTTGAAAGGCATAGAGACTGAAGACATCTTGTGAACTAGCTCACTTCTCTTAGGTGCACTTTCATTGTCTCATGGGGTTTGAATGACCGAAGCTTTAGGATTCTCCTAGTCCAAATACTTACTGAGAGACTTCTGTGAGCCAGACATTGTTCTAGAGATGCAGCAATAAGAAAAATAGGAGGAAAAGCAATTCCTGCCCTTATCATCAACCCTGGTGGAAACAGACAATAAACCAGGAAAATGAGCCAACTGTATATGTTGGAGAGCTACTGAAAGCTGATCATAAAGACCGAGCTGGGAGGAGGGACAGGAAGCACTGGTGATCAAGGAGGAACTCAGTGAAAAGGTGAGATTTGAGAAATGACCTGAGTGAAATGAGGGAGGGAGGCAGGAAGTTGTCAGAAGGGCATCGCAGGCCCAGGAACAGCAGCCAGCCCTCGGCGGGAGCACTCCTGGCCCCTGGAGGAGCAGCGTGAGGGCCGCGACTGAGCCGCTCCACACGTGGAGAAGAACGTGGCCAGGGAGCTCGGGGCTCCTGAATTACCGTAGAAGGCATCCTAAGAACTTGGCTTTTCTGTGCCAATTAGGAAAACATTAGTGGGTTTTGAACAAAGTGACCTAATCTGACTTAGGTTTTAACAGGCTCTCTCTGCTGCTGTGTTGGGAAAGGACTGCGGGGAAGCAGTGTAAAAGCAAGTCCAGTTAGAAGGTTCTTGACGGTGAATTCAGACTATGGGGTCGCAGCTGAACTGGATGAGCCGGCAGGATGGACTTGATGTGGATTGAGAGGGAGGAGATGAGGGGGATCCCAGAGGTACTGGCCTGAACAAAAAGAAGAAGGGATTTCTAGAAACAGGGAAGACTGTGAAACAGGATTATTTCTGATGGACAAGGAAAAAGGATGAATAATTAGGATCTCAGTTTTAGTCATGCCAAGTTTGAAGTGGCCTTAGACGTTCAGTGGAGATCAGCAAGAGGTCCAGGATGGAGACATACATTTGGAATTCATCAGCATATAAATCATACATAAAACCAGAGGTATAGAAGAGAGTACTAAGAAAATGAGCATAAATTCTAAAGAGAATATGTCCAAGGACTGAGATGAAAGGAACCAACAAAGAAAAGAGAGTTCAGATCTGTGCAGTTAGGAATGTGATTTCTAATAGGTTTTTTAAGAAGTAACTGCTGATTTAGTTATGGTGGAGGTCACTGACAACCTTGATAGGAATAGTCTTAAGGGATCAGAGGTTAGGGAATGTCTGATCGGAAGGGTTCAAGTAGAAGATGAGAAATTGGACACACAAGCTATGAATGACTCTTCCAGCAGGTTTGTAAAGGAAAGGAACAAGATGGCATGGCAGTGGGCCAGGAGGCACCCGCAGCTCTCTGGGGCAGCACCGTCTTAGGGTCTGCTGACACGCACATGCTGTGAGTGTGAGCATTAGCTGCGTGGAGAGTTGGTGACTGCAATTGACCTTGACTTTGGGGTACATTCAGATTTTTGAGATGTTTGTCATTGGTATTTAGTGCTAAAAAAAGATTCAGGCCAGCTACCTTATTTCCATTATATGTTTACACATTTTATTCCCTTTCTTACTCTTCATTTTCGTCTGTTTTCTCCATATTTTTCCTTAGAAGTTAGTTTTTAACTCTACATTATAACTAGTTGTTTGCATGTCAGTCTCCCATCATAGCCTAAGTTTCTTGAGAAGGACCATATTAATATTTTTCTTTACATATCTGTCTCATACATAGCCCAGCTCCTGTAACATGGCAGACAGTCCATAAAGGTTTTCTGAATGAATGACTTCTATGTTCTGTTTTGGCATGTGATGTGTTCTATGGTTCTATGTAAAGATCAGTGTCTTCCTAGAATTTGCTGTTAATTTCTAAATAGAGACTGTGCTTGGTCCTTTTGTTTTTCACAGAGTCCCTGTGAAACCGGCATAGTGAGGACCGGCTCCCTGCAGCTCAGGACCTCATCTGTGGGGAATTCATCTTTGAAAAGGACAAAGCGGAAAGCACCTTCCCCACCGTCCAGAAAACCCCTGCATCAGAGTGATGACCATAGCCATAGCCATGGGACCGGTAATGCTAGTCTTCCCATCAGCATCACAGTCCTATTGTGTTTTATCTAATAGAGACAGCAGAAGTGATCTGGGTTATAAATCATGTATTTTGTTAAATAATAATATAACAATAATAAAATTTAGGCTTTTAGTTAATTTCAGCAGTACTACTTAGATAACCCCTGATTATTCTCACTGAAGTACCTTTGTGAAATTTGCATTAAGAAATAAAATGAAAAAATCATACAGCTCCATTGTCTTAAAATGAGCCTGTGGAAATTTAATAATATGTTCAGCAAGACATTGTGATTCCAGGACTGACTACATGTACGAATGGAAATCTAAATAGATTTTAGTCGTATTACATTTATAGACTGCAAATGGCTTAGGGCTATTTCTTCCTGAATTACATAAAAATAATGAAGGTAAGCTACTAAGGAATCATTTCACTTGTGAATGTGGTTCGTTTATTAATGTGTTGCTCCTGTGTTCTAGCCCTGCAGTCCGTACATGCAGTTCCTACAGACAGTGTTTCAGAAGCGAACTCTCCTGAGGTCCCACCCAGCCCAGGTCTGACATTTTTACTCCATAACATGAAATTACTGAAAAGACCTTTCATGACAACTGAGAAATGAATCTTGTTGTAACACTTTGTATGAGAGAGATAATAATGCTCTGTATAAGAAAGATATGCTTTGACTCCATTTCCCAAATTTTATATTATGAAATGAAAAATTCTCCTCCACCCCAAGTTTAGGGCATGAAACTGGCAGAACTTAAAATTTTGGTTCTCTGATGAATACTTTCCCTAGTAGGTCTGTTTTTTGTTATGCAATATCAAGTCACCCTTTAGTAATCTGCACAAAGGGATGATACATTTTAGTTAGGAAGGTACCTTGGAGTGCTCAGAAGAAAAAGTACATGAAGATTTAAGCACCATTCCTTATAGAAACTATTCTAGGAAAGAATTCAACATATACAATGTCCTAATCTAGTTTGTTATCATGAAATATTTTGTTTTGTATAGTCTCATTTTAGATTCTCTCCAAATGAATTAAAATCCAGTAAAAATAAAATAATTCAATCTAATGCTGTAAAAATACTAGAGCTAGTATTTTTAATAATAGCTCTTTAGTAGCTGTTACAGGAATGATAAAGATTCTTAATCTTTGGACTTAAAGTTAGATACAAATGAATATGACAGACTAATGATGTATAATCAAAACTATAACATTACTAGGTCAGTACTTTGGCATAATTTACTAGGTATGAAAATTGCTTAATATGACTACCTAGTTTTTATCATTCAGATTCACAAATACAGGACAAACCTAGAAGCACCCAAAATTCCAGAATCTTTAATCCTTAGTTTATCTTTAGGAATTTGGATTTTGACATATATAAGAATTCTCCTTTCCTCTGTGATTGAAAATATTACCATTAGGTAACTAGTACAGCACATCTCATTTTATTGCATTTTACTTCATTGTACTTTGCAGATAAAGTACTTTGCAAATTGAAGGTGTGTGACAATGATACACTGAGCAAGTCTTAGCAAGCCAGCACTGTTTTTCCAACAGCATTTGCTCTCTTTGTGTCTGTGTCATATTTTGATAATTTTTGAAGTATTAAAATCTTTTTCATTATGATTATACTTGTTATGGTGATCTGTGATTAGTGATCTTTGATCTACTCTTCTTAATTATTTTCAGGTACCATGAACTGCACCCATATAAGACAGCAAACTTAATTGATAAATGTTGTGTGTGTTCTGACCACTCCACCAACAGTCTTCCCCCATCTCTCTCCCTCTCCTAGGGCCTCCCTATTTCCTTGACACCATAAATTGAAATTAGGCCAGTTAAAACCCCACAATGACCTCTAAGTGTTCAAGTGAAGGGAAGAGTAACAAGTCTCCCACTTTAAGTCAAAAGCTAGAAATAATTAAGCTTAGTGAGGAAGGCATATTGAAAGCCAAGATAGGCTGGAAGCCAGGCCTCTTGTGCCAGGTAGCCAAGTTGTAAATATGAAGGAAAAGTTCATAAACAAAATTTAAAGTGCTACTCTTGTTTTTCAAAAAGTGACATAGACTTATTGCTGATAAGGAGAAAGTTTTAGAAGTCCAGATAGAAAATCAAACCAGCCATAACATCCCCTTAAGCCAAGCCTAATCCAGAGCAAAGCCCTCACTCTCTTCAATTCTTTGAAGCCTGAGAGAGGTGAAGAAACTTTAGAAAAAAGTTGGAAGTTAGCAGAGATTGGGTCATGAGGTTTAAGGAAGTAAGTCGTCTCCATAATGTGAAAGCACAAGGAGAAACAGCAAGTGCTGATGGAGAAGCTACAGCAAGTTATCCAGAAGACCAGGTCAGACCAGGAATGAAGGTGCCTATGCTAAACAACAGATTTTTCAGTGTAGCTGAAAAAGCCTTCTATTGGAAGAAGATGCCATCTAGGATTTTCATAGCTAGAGAGAAGAAGTCAATGCCTGGCTTTAAAGCTTCAAAGGACAGGCTGAATGACTTGTTAGGGGCTAATGCAGCTGGTGACAGAGTTGATTTTTCTGAGCCAGTGCTCATTGGTTATTCTGAAAATCCTAGGGCCCTTAAGAATTATGCTAAATTTACTCTGTCTTTGCACTGTCAATGAAATGACAAAGCCAGGAAGACAGCACATCTATTTAGAAGATGCTTTACCATTTTAAGCCCGCTGTTGAGACCTACTTGTCAGCAAAAAAAGATTTCTGTCAAAATAATGACTTACTGATTGACAACAGCTGGTCACCAAGAGCTCTGGACATGTAAAATAAGATTAATGTAATTTTCATGGCTGCTAACACAACATCCATTCTGCAAGCTCATGAATCAAGGAGGAATTTCATCCTTCAAATATTATTATTGAGGAAATACATTCATAAAGCTATAGCTGCCATAGATAGTGATTCCTCTGATGGATGTAGGCAAAGTAAGTGAAAACCTTCTGGAAAGGATTCATCATTCTAGATACCATTGAGAACATTCATGATACATGGGAAGAAGTTAAATTATCAACACTAATAGGCATTTGGAAAAAATTGATTCCAACTTTCATGGGTGACTATAGGGGTTAAATACTTCAGTGGAAGAAGGAACTATAGAGGTGGTGGAAATAGCAACAGGACTAGAATTCGAAGTGGAACCTGAAGAGGTGACTGAATCGCTTCAATCTCATGATAAAACTTGAATGGATGAGGAGTTGCTTCTTATGGATGAGCAAAGAAAGTGGTTTCTTGAGATGGAATCTACTCCTGATGAAGGAAGATGCTATGAAGATTGTTGAAATGACAACAAAGGACTTAAAATATTACATAAACTTAGTTGATAAAGCAGCGGTAGAGTTTGAGAGGATTAGCTCCAATTTGGAAAGAAGTCCCACAGTGGCTTAAAATGCTATCACACAGCATCATATGCTACAGCGAAAATTGGTTGTGAAAGGAGAGTGAAACTTCATTGTTGTCTTATTTTAAGAAATTGCCACCAGCCACCCCAGCCTTCAGCAACCTCCACCCTAATCAGTCAGAAGCCACCAACATCAAGGCAAGAAAGATTATCACTTGATGAAAGCTCAGATGATGGTTAGCGTTTTTGGCAATAAAGTATTTTTAAATTAAGGGATATATGTTGTTTTTTAGACATACTGCTTTGCACACTTTATAGACTCAAGTATAGTATAAACATAACTTTTATATACATTGGGAAACCAAAAAAGTCACTGGACTCACTTTACTGTGATAATTGCTTTATTTCAGTGGTCTGGAACTGAACCTGCAATATCTTTGAAGTATGCATACAATGAATTTTTTAAGTCCTACCCAGAAGAATATCAATGATACCAATTTGTTCCACAAAGGAAATTGATTAAATAATATCAAACTATATAAAGGACATGAAAATATTCTGAAAGATTAGAGAAAATATTCTACTCTTCAGCCCTTGCTTAATACCTGTTTCCCTTTCTTTTCCTTTTCCCCAGTTTTCTTGTTTAGTGCATGGATAATTGTGAGCTAACAAATGTGACTTCTTAGAAGTACTTCGTGGTCTCTGCTTGCCTCAACTCTGTTGTTTGAGTGCCATTTACACAGATTTTACTTCTTTGGCAGAAGCCTCCCTTGGCCCTGGGCTCTCCAGTCATGAGCAGTGCACTGTGTCCAAATCGCCCGACGAAGCGTCTCTCTCAGAGTGCCCTGGAACGCCCGCGGCAGCTGTAGCATCTCTGACATGTAGGTGATGGCCTGCACTGCTGGTGCTTTGTTTAATGCAGATTAATATATCATCATATTAGTTACTTTTTCATTAGGTTACTTTTCCATCCCTTGAGCAAAAATTTCTCATAAAGTAATAATAGTTTCCCCCTTTTCACTTTAAGTTTTATTACAGGCTTAGAGTGTGACGTTTTCCTTAACCCTATGGATGAATATGGCGTAAGAGGAACAAAATCAGTGACCGAGGGATTTCAGCTTCTCTTCTATTTGGATTTCTGCTTTTTTGTCTTTGAACTTTATTATATCCAATGTGTAGCTACATGAAATATAAAAGAGTATATATGTAAATATATTACATATGTTTTTTTTTCTTAAACTACTCTTTTGTTATCTAGGCATGGCTTATTTTCAATACTATTGCTTTTGATTAGGAACTTTAGCTTAAAATTATTCTATTTTGTTACCAGATGGCAAAATGTTATAGTTAGGTCATACTTGAATTTCATCATATGTAATTTTAGCCAATTTTTTACTGATTCAGAAAGAGTTCTTATCACCTCCAGTTAGTATGCTATCACACACAACTTACAGGATAGCAGAATTGTGAGGTCCTTTTCGAAAATACTTTGGCAGGATTTTTTTTTTTTTACATTAGAAAAATGTAAGCATTTATTTTTTATACCACCTAGGAGTCCCACTCCTAGATATTTTCTGAAGAAAAATGAAAACCTATGTGCACACAAAAACTTCCATGTGAACTGTTATATAATTTATATTCATAATTGCCCAACGTGGGAAATAACCATGTCCCTAAACTGAGAAATGGATGAACTGTGGTCAGTTCATGCATTGGAATACTACCACCTACCCATAAAAAGGAACAAATAACTAATACACACAATAACATGCCTGAATTTTGAATGCATTATGTTAAATGAAGGAAGCCAGACATAAAATGGCTAGATGCTACATGATTTCATTCATATGACATTCTTGCAAAACCATAAGTGTAATGGTTGCCAGGGCCTGAGGTTAGGGGAAGGAGAGGATCACCAAAGGGCATGTTTAAGGACTTCGGAGGTTAATGGAATTGTTCTATATCTTAATTGTGGTGGTTGTCATGTACATATATATATTTGTGTATATAATCTGTCAAATATGGACATAACAAAATATGTTTAGTGTTTTACTGAATGTAAATTGTGCCTCAGTTTTAAAAAATGAAAGAGAAAACACCTTCTGGCAGCCATAACAATAGTGTTTGACACAGCATATTTTGAACAAATGAATAAAAAGTAGTTCACGAGAATAAATTTAATATACTTCATTTTAATAGAGAGGTTTTTGTCAGAAAATTTTGCATTTTGATTATCTCCAGGAATAGTTTCTAAAAAGTCTTAGTTAAATGTTAAGCTTTAATAACTTACAAGTAAAATGCAACAAACTTACAAAAACCTCTTCTGAAAGTTTAATATTTAAATTTCTTGGGGACTGAAAAAAGATGGTGGAGTAGGAAGGCAAGGTGGAAACCTCCTTCCACAAACACACCAAGGAAGCAACTGCAGCAAATACAACTAAACCTGAAAACAACCTGAAGACTGCAGAACAGACCACCTACACCTGAGGAAGAAGAGAGGACCACCCAGAGAAGGGTCAAGTGGTAGAGCCATGATTGAGCGGGACCCAAGCCTTTCCCTCATCCAGCCAACAGTCAGGAGCAAGAGGAATGAAAGAGGCAGTGGACAGGTGCCCAGGAACACTGCACACCTGGCCCTGGAGCTCTCCTCTGGGAGCATGAGTCCACATTGGGTCCTGGTGATTAGAGGGGCTGGACGACAGGGACACTTGGAACACTCAGGAAGGCTGAGACTCCAGCCACTTGTGGAGGCCAGGAATGCTCTTCCAGTCCTGCTGAGACCTAAAGCAGAGGCAGCAGTTTGAAAAACTTGTCAGCAATGGGAGGGGTACTAGAGGGTAAGGGTTGGAAGGAGATCTCTCCCCAAAGGAGAAAGTGCAGATGGACATACCTCCTCAGTCCTCTCTTAGCCCAGCAGTTCAGCCCCTTTTAGGAGCTCCATTCCCCCCAGCTGGTGGCTCAGCCCCAGGCACATCTCTGCACACCACTGGTGTACACGCTCACTCGGCCCAGCAGCAACAAACTGTGTTCTGCCTGGCAGGAAGAGGGAGGCTCTCTTCTCAGCCCCGTCTCAGCCCAAGTGGGGAGGCACCTTTAGGAGCCAGCTCTGAGAGCTCCATCCTCCCAGTACTGTATGCCCAGACCTGCCCCCGAGCTGCGCAACTGCCTGGCCCTTGCAGCAGGACTTCCCTTCCATGGCTGCAGGACAGGAAAAGGGTATCCCTGCCCACAACAATCCCACTGCTTTTCTCACAAAGGGCCAGCTGAGACAAACTTCCAGCTGCAGTGGACTGAGACCACCGTCGGCAGACAGAAATACAGCCCTGCCCATGGCCTACCAACAGCAAGTGGGGCTCCACTGCAAAGAAGAACCATACACTGGACAGCAAAGAGTCTTGAGCTTCTGGGTAAATTCTTCATAAAGTCATTACTCCCTAGACCAAGAAGCATAGCAGATCCATCTAATACAATGGAAGAAATATGGAAACCCTGACAAAATGAAGAGACAGAGGAATTTCTCCCAAACAAAACTACAGGATAAGATACCAGAAAGAGGGCTAAATAAAATGAAGATTACCAATCTTTTTGATAAAGATTTCAAAGTAACAATCATAAATATGCTCACTGATCTGCAGAAAATTATTGAAGATCTCAGGGAAGACTTCAACATAGAGATAGAAGAGCTGAAAAAGAGCCACTCAGAGTTGAAGAATACAGTAACTGAAATGAAACATACAGTGGAGGGATTGAAGAGTAGATCACTCCAAGTGGAAGAGATACTCAATGAGATTGAAATTAGAGAAGAGGAATACAATGAAGCTGAGAAACAGAGAGAAAAAAGGATCTTTAGGATGAAAGAATGGTAAGAGCTGTGTGACCAAACCAAATGAAACAATATTTGCATAATAGGGATACCAGAAGGAGAAGAGAGAGACAAAGGGATAGAAAGCCTCTTTGAGGAAGTAATTGTTGAAAATTTCCCTAATCTGGGGAAAGAAACAGATATTCAGGTCATGGAAGCACAGAGAGCCCCTAACAAAAGAACCCCAGGAAGACAACACCAAAACATATAATAATTAAAATGGCAAATACCAAGGACAAGGAGAAAATATTGAAAGTAGCCAGAGGGAGAAAAAGATCACTTATAAAGGAAACCCCGTCAAGCTGTTAGCAGACTTCTCAGTAAAAATTTTACAGGCCAGAAGGGAGTGGCATGTACTGAAACAAAAGAACCTTCAACCAAGAATCCCTTACCTGGCAAGATTATCATTTAAATTTGGAGCAAGGATTAAACAATTTCCATATAAACAAAAGTTGAAGAAATTCACTACCACTAAGCCAGCCTTACAGGATATGTTAAAGGAACTGTTGTAGATGGCAGTGTTCCTAAAGCTAAATAGCTTTTACCAGTGAAAATAAAACCACAGTAATGGTAGTAGATAGCAATACAGGAGTACCTCAAGAAACAAGAACAATCTCAGTCTAAACTCACATTTAAAAATACTAGAAAAAGAATGAAACCCAAAGGTAGTAGAAGGAGGGACATAATAAATATCAGTGGAAAATAAATATTATGGAGAAGAATAAGACAATAAAAGAAACCCAATGAAACCAATAGCTGGTTCTTTGAAGAAATAAACAAAATAAATAAATGCCTAGCCAGACCTATCAAGAAAAAGCAATACACAAATAAATAAAATCAGAGATAAGGAATAGTCACCATAGGTAGCACAGAAATAAAGAATTATTAGAGAATATTATGAAAAATGATATTCCAGTAAACTGGACGACCTAAAAGAAATGGAAAAATTCCTAGAAAAATACAACCCCATTATTGATACAGGAAGAAACAGAAAATCTAAACAGACCTATCACCAGCAATGAAATTAATTGGTCATCAAAAAACTGACAAACAGAATTCCAGAACCAGATGGCCTCACAGGTAAATTCTACCAAACATGTAAAGAAGACCTAATACCCATCCCCGTAAAGTATTCCAAAAAGTAGAAGAGGAGGGGATACTTCCAAATTGATTCTATGAGTCCATCATCACTCTAATACCAAAAGCAGGCAAAGTTGCTACAAAACAAGAAAATTGTAGACCAATATCCCTGATGAACACAGATGCAAAATGAACAAAATACTAGCAAACCAAATTCAAAAATACATCAAAAAGATCATTCATCACAACCAAGTGGGATTTATTCCAGGGATGCAAGGATAATATATTTATAAATCAATATCATACAGCACATTAACAACAAGGAGGATAAAAGCCACATGATCACCTCAATAGATGCTGAGAAAGCATTAGACAAAATTCAACATCCATTTCTGATAAAAACTCTCAACAAACTGGGTATAGAGGGAATGTACCTCAACATCATAAAGATCATGTATGACAAACCCACAGCCAACATCACACTTCTAGTTAAAAAGCTGAAAGTTTTTCCTCTAAGATAAGGAACAAGACAAGGATGTCTGCTCTCACTGCTCTTATTCAACATGGTGCTGGATGTCCTAGCCACAGCAATCATACAAGGCAAAGAGATAAAAGGTGTCCAGATTGTTAAGAAAGAAGTAAAACTGTCACTATTTTCAGGTGACATGATATACATAGAAAAACCCTAAAACTCCACCAAAAAACTATTAAAACTAAAACTGGATTCAACAAAGTTGCAGGGTACAAAATAAATACACACAAATCTGTTGTGTTCCAATGAACTAGCATAAAGAGAAATCAAGAAAATAATTCCATTTACAATTGCATCAAAAAGAATAAAATAACTAGGAATAAACCTAACCAAGGAGGTGAAATATCTGTACTCTGAAAACTATAAAACATTCATGAGAGAAATTAAAGAAGAGACAAATAAATGGAAATCTACCCCATGCTCATAGATCAAAAGAATTAATATTGAAATGGCCATCCTTCCCAAAGCAATTTACAGATTCAATGCAGTCCTTACCAAAATACCATCAGCATTATTCAGTGAACTAGAATAAATAGTTGTTAAATTCATATGAAACCACAAGACCCAAAATAGCCAAAACATCCTGAGAAAAAACAAAACTGGGGGGATTATCCCTGACTTCAAGCTCTACTACAAAGCTACAGTAATCAAAACAGTGTGATACTAGCACAAAAACAGACCCATCGATCAATGGATCAGAATAGAGAGCCCAGATATAAACCTACACATATATGTACATATCTGGTCAATTCATATATAATAAAGGAGCTATATTCAATGGGGAAAGATTGCCTCTTCAGTGACTGGTATTAGGAAAACTAAGCAGCCACAAGCAAGAGAATGAAACTGGATTACTCTCTACCTCTGTATACAAAAGTAAACTTGAAATGGATCAAAGACATGAATGTAACATATGAAACCATAAAACTCTGAGAAGAAAACATAGGCAAAGTATCTGGAACGTAAGTATGAGCAATTTTTTCCTGGACACATCTCCTCAGGCAAGGGAAACAAAATAAAAAGTGAACAAGTGGGACTACATCAAACTAAAAACCTTCTGTACAAAGGACACCATCAGCAAAAGAAAAAGGCATCTACAATATGGGAGAATATATTTGTAAATACTCATCTGATAAGGGGTTAGCATCCAAAATATAGAAGGAACTTATACACCTCAGCACCCCCTCATAAAAACCTGGTTAAAAAGTGGGGAGAGGACCTGAGCAGACACTTCTCCAGAGAAGAAATACAGATGGCCAACAGGCACATGAAAAGATGCTCCACCTCAATCATCAGGGGAAATGCAAATCAAAACCACTATGAGATATTACTTCACACCAGTTAGAATAGCCACTATCCAAAAGACAAGAAATGTGGTCACTATCCAAAACACAAGAAATAACCAGTGTTGGCGAGGATGTGGAGAAGTGGGAATCCTCCTACAGTGTTGGTGGAAATGTAAATTGGTACAATCACTGTGGATAGCAGTATGGAGTTTCCTCAAAAAACTAAAAATAGAAATACCATTTGACCCAATAATTCCACTCCTAGGAATTTCCCCAAAGAAAACAAAGCCCTGATCTGAAAAGATAGATGCACCCCTATATTTACACTGCATTATTTATAATAGCCAAGAAAGCAACCTAAATGTCCATCAATAGATAAATGGATAAATAAGAGGTAGTACATATATGCAATGGAATATTAGCCATAAAAAAAGAAATCCTGCCATTTGCAATGACATAGATGGATCTGGAGGGTATTATGCTCAGTGAAATAAGCCAGGCAGAGAAAGACAAATGCCGTATTAACTCACTTATTTGTAGAATATAAAAGCAAAGCAAAACAGAATGAGCAAAATAAGAATAGACTCAAAGACACTGAGAAGTGACTAGTGGTTACCATGGGAGAGGGATTGGGGTTGGTGTGTGTGGAAGGTGAGGGGGATAAAGAGGCACAAAAATTATCAGTCATAATATTAGTTGGTCACAGGGATGGTAGTACAGTATGGAGAATATAGTTAGTGATTCTGTAACATCTATGTGACCGATAGTAACCTCAGTAGAGAGGGTGAGGATTTAATGATATGGGTGACTGTTGAACCACTGTGTTGTATATTTGAAACCAATATAAGATTGTATATCAACAATACTTCTATAAAATTTTTTAAAAATTTTAAAGAATTTCTTTTAAATGTATTACATTTTGTGAATTTTAAAGAATTTTTTAATTGTACTTTCTGTTTCATTTTGTCATCTTTAGGACTGAAAAACCTAAGATAAAAATATTCAAATTATATAAAGCTAAGTAAATTTAAGACAAATTTCAATAATTACACTTTCAAATGATGTCTTTTATAATATTTTAACATTTATAATTCTGAAGTTGTTAAACCTTAAAACTTCATGAAGAGTTTGAAACAAAGAACACTTTGAAAGTGAATATTTTCCCTTTAGAAATTATGAAGCAGAAATGTAAAAGTTGTACTACAACATTTGTGAAATTTATTCATTGTTGACAGCCCTCACCCAATTTTATTTTATTGTTGTCCTAAAATTTGGCCATCAGATGTCTGTTAACACACACAAAACAAACTTGATTTAATACTTTTCAAAACTTGGGAAAATTTGTACTAGTCAACAACTGTGAAAGTTCTCCTGGGTGATCACAATTTCTCAAAAAATCACAGCCTTTTCTTGACTTTTTATAATAAGAATACTTTTCAAGATAGTAAATAACAAACCATATATATATACTATATGATGCTTATAACTACCAAGTTATAAAATCCCAGAAAAATAATTTGAAGAGTTTTGATACATGTAACTTATTCTTCATACTTTATTTGAGGCCAGTTTCTCAATGAAGGCCCCATATTTTAGAAAAGGTTGTGTTTCTGACACACTTATGATGGGAAACAGAAATAGGAATAACAATAATTTGCTACATGTTACCTCAGTTAATCTATTTCCTAAAGAATGTAAGACATACCAAGGAGCCATTTATAAAACATAATGCATCTAAACCATCATTTTCTCAATATACAGTTTTCAAATTATATAAATATTTACTTACTACATGATGTGATATGCTTTTGCAGACCGATAATGTACATTAGCATCAGAATGACTCACACATCATAAAAAAACAGTTGTCAAAATTGTTTGACAAAAAATATGTCAAAATATATATATTTAAAAATTCACCTAAATTCACACTCTTTCATATTTTTTCTGTTGAGCAATCTGTTTTTTTATTTACAACAAAAATGCCATTAAAGTTCTCTATATTTGTTTATTAAAGAGTGCATACTTTTCTATCTATATGCCTAAAGATAAGAAGATACATTTTAAGTATTTAATATTTAAGTAATGTTCTTCAAATATGTTAAAGTTTTTATTAAATTTTGTGGATGCACTAGCCACTACAGCTCTATACTAACTTTCCCCCTTTGTCTATTTGTGGTAAAATTAAACTTCTTTCAGCTGCTACTGTGCAAAGGAAAGAGTTGAATTTTATTTAAATAAGCAAAGATTCAGAATCTCATTATGTAGTTTGAATTAACTTTCACACCTAATGTGGGCACTAACTACTTAGGACATCTCCTCTTTTACCCTGCTGGTCCTTTGTTGTTAGTAAGGAATAATGTGAAAACACATTTTTATACAATGAAATATTAACCACACCTATTGAGAAGAATCTCACACACACAGACACACACACTCTGATAAAGGATGATCTTTAAGATGAGTAAAGGGAAAAAACTTCGATGATTTTAAGTATGATATGCTTCCATTCATATTAAATCAGCCAAATAAAAAGAGAAAAGGCAGTATGTTGCATATGCATATCTGCTTCTGTGCGCTCATCATACTTTCTTATAATACATGGGGGAAAACTGTGAAATTGCCTCTGAGAATCAAACTGGGAATAAAAGTTAACTTTCATTGTATAGTACTTATTCTATTTGTATTTTTAAAAACTGTAAGTATCTCATCAGTGGCTTTTAATTCTGGTTGTATATTGGAATGATCTGAGGAGGCTTAAAAGTTCTTGGTCCCACCTTTTCAGAAATTCTGATTTAACAGGTGTGAAATATGGGGTGCAAGCATCTGTATTTTTAAAGGGGCACAGGTAATTCTCAGTTGTAGCTAGTGCTGATAACTACTGAGTCAAATTTTGTAAGTGTACTTGTAGACAATATAAAAATCTCATATTTTCATTTACATTTAGAGCTATTGCATGAATGTGAAAAACATTTCAATTGAAAGATAATGGTCTTAAATAAAATATGTAACTTGAGGTTTGAGGTCAATCTCTTTTTTCCTACTATGAATAAAACCTTCAGTGATAGTGTATTATTTTTAGAATTGTATGTGTCTGAGATCATCTGGGTATAAGTTAACATAATTATTCAACATTAGAAGAGTATTTCACTATTAGTTTTGGACCAGAATTTATCAGAGTCCAGCTAATTATTTTTTAAAAAATTCCTTCCTTGCCAGGATTGTATAGCATGAATGAAGCAAATTAATATTTAGGATTTATCTTCATTCCTTTGTAGCTGAAATCAGCTCTGATTACAGCCTTGAAGAGATAGATGAAAAAGAAGAACTAAGTGAAGTGTCTAAAGATGAGGCTGAAAATACTGCTCTGAAATTACAAGATATTCCTTTTGCACCTATTGATGTAATAAGTACACTGGAAAATGATCCTGAGGCAGCCGTTGGCAGTGAGGCTGTAGAGTCCTTACCAAACTCCAGAGAAGAAAAACAAAAAACTAAAAACACAGATGGAAAGTAAGTCATCTATGTGCCAGAAATGTTGGTGGCAGTTTGTTTAATTAGTCCTAGTCTTCTGAAAAGTAGATATGATATTTTAAGCACAAATATATTCATCCCTGTAGTTTAGACTCTCTCCCTTTTATCATCATAAAAATGTTTGTTAATAATCTATTTGCATGTAGTTGATTTTCAATAACATCAAATTCCGTAGTTCCAATATCCCAGAACTGGTAATGTGTAGTTAATTTGTATGACTCAAATATAAAAGTTTTGTTTGTATTGTATGTGTTTTGCCTAGTACCCATTTGATCTAAATGAAACATTTAATTTTTGGTTTTCACCAAGTGCCCCTCAAGAATTTACATTGACTAATGTATGAAAAAAGTATTAGAGTATGTTGTTACATCACTAATCTTATTTTTACAGGCAACTTTCTGATTCAGAGAAAGCATTTTCCACTTGATCCTAGGAATTGAAACTCTAGTACAGTGCATTCATGTTGGAAATGCCACACAAATAAAGATGAAATCAGCTAGGCAAAAAAAAAACCCTTCATCAAAGTTTTAGTATAATTTGCATGGGATTGTCTCCAAATTAAACTCTTCAATCACCAAAAAAAACCCAGTGAGGTCAGTGCCACATCCTGATTGGCCTACAGGTTGACCTTGCCAGATGTAAGAAGAAAATGTTCGGTTTCCTTTTTCTTTAAAAAAGTGGACAATAACAGACAATATTTTTGGAAAAGTGTCCATTTCACTAAGCTTCTTACATCTTTCTTTGTAAAAGGACCACCATATGAAAGTTGATGTTTCACAGCAGCATTTCCTCTTAGTTGAATTTTTTCTCTGCTACTAGATTTCCAGTATTTGGCAGAAAAACATGATTATTTCAGTCCATCTGTCTTTGGAAATTGCCTGTTTTCTTATCCTGTGTATGTGTATTTGAATAGTATCGGTATATAACATAAATATATTTTGCAGAGAACCACACATTGCGGTATATAATGTGAGCAATGGAGAAAGGGTAACTGATAGTGTAAGAAACTTGAAGTCATTTGGCCCAAACCAAGAGAGTGGTGAGTTCCGTAAACACTAATAACAAGCACTATCACAGCACTTACTATGTGACAAGGACCATTCTTAACACCTTCTATATATAACTCATTTAATCTTGTATATTAACTCATTTGTGGGTATTATTATTTTTAGTCCCATTTTACAGATGATTGAGCTGTATAGATATTATGTAATTCACCTGAGCTTCCATGATTAGCAAGTGGTGAACCTTGGATTTAAACTCAGATAATATTATTCCAAAATGTGCCCTTAACTACCGTGTGTACTACTTTCATTGTTGTTAAATCTTAGAGGTTATCTAACTTAGGCCTTGGATCTTAAAGATATATATTCTGTCCATCTGCTTTTGATCTATTTCTCTTTTTTCCTTCTGTTGATGTCCCCAGTCTAAGGGAATTTTACTTAATACTCAAGTTGCTATACCTTGAGTGAAACTTGTCTGATTTTTAAGGCCCAAAACATCTAATGTGATGTTATTTACCATTATTGCCTGGTAGTCACTCCCAAATCAAGACAGTTTCTTCTTTTTCTTATGATATATTTCACTCAGTTCTATTTTTAGACACAGTCTTTGCATGGGAAACAATTTTGCACGTGTTATCACCCATTCAGCTGCTATCAAAACCCTTCCATTTCCCCTATTTTTTTCCTTGATTACGAGAAGCTATGTTGTTCTCTGGCCTTGACTCCTCAATTAAATTGGAAAGTCTTGGGTCAGATAAATTATGTCTGATACTTTGAATTCTTCATGGCATTTCACAGAATACTGAGATACCTGTTAAAATATATACAGATGGTCTCTGACTTGAGATGGTTCGACTTACAATTTTTCAAATTTACGGTGGTGTGAAAGTGATACACAATCAGTAGGAGCTACTTCAAATTTTGAATTTTGATTTCTCAGCCTAACAATATGTAGTGAAACATTCTTTCATGAGGCTGGACAGCAGCAGAGAGCTTTGGCTTCCACTCAGCCACATAATCGTTAGGGTAAACAACTGATACATGAACGTCAATTCTTCACCCATACACTAATTCTGTTTTTCACTTTTAGTACAGTATTCAGTAAATTACATGAGGTAATCAACACTTTATTATAAAATAGGCTTTGTGTTCTATGATTTTGCCCAACTGTAGGCTAATGTACATGTTCTGAACATTTTTAAGGCAGGCAATGCTAAGCTCTGATTTTCGGTAGGTTAGGTGTGTTAAGTGCATTTTCTATTTACAGTATTTTCAACTGATGATGGCTTTACCAGGAGATAACCCCATCATAAACAAGGAAGATCTGTACTTAAGGTTGGATTGCAGAAAAATGGTACCCCAAATAGAAGATGCATGGAATGCACAATGGTATTTTAAGGGGTCATGAAGAAAGTGGCTTATTAATTCTCATAGTCCAATCTATTATGTTAATATACAAAACTATGTTAAATTCTTGGAAAACATAGGGATATGCTCATATTTGGATGAAACATGGGTTATCCCAATGTCCCAGATGGACAGATATAAACATACATTATTTTATATATGTGCTATATGTTGGTTAATTTGAGTATGTCTCTGATTCACTTTCCCCAATGTCTGTACTTCACTGAGATGCAATACGGAGATGGTCTAAGTAGTATATAATTTCTCCATTCTTTTCCTTTTGATTCTTTTTTTTTTTTTGCAACCTGTACTATGACGGCAATAGCATTTCTATTGAGAAATCATGATTTACAAGCTTCTTCCTTCTTTTTAAAGTCATAGTCAAATTAAATCATTTTTGCTAAGATTCTGGCTTCAAGTCAGTGCTAGAGTCACAAATATATTTTGACCTTCATTTTTTTTATTTATTTGTCCTTGACTTGGCAATGACCTTTGTCAACTCCAGGTGATTTTTTAAAATAAATAATTTCTCTTACCCTTAAAGTAGTTTCTATTCTGTTTTCCTCTTTTCTTTTTTTTTTTTTTAACCTTCCCTGTGTACTTACTTAAATCATCCTTTTGTCAGATTGTAGATGTTGGTGTCACTTTTTAGGGCAACAACACCTGGGTAGCATCATTATCCAGGTGTGTCTGAGGATGGATTGAGTGATAAATTCAGTAGCGCTTCCAGGTTTCCAGGCCCATAATTAGGAATAACAGTGAAATTTTGATGAGAAATTCAGAGTTGGGCAATGGTCAAATAGGTGTAACCCACCAGAAATGTGAAACAGAAATTTATTTGAGTTCTAAAACCAGTAAGTTAGGCTTTGTTATAGGGGATTTAATTTAAAATATATTTTTATGTTAATTTACTTTCTTTTGGAAGCTATTTCTGTTGTGTAATGAGGCCATACCTGTATTAGGTGGAAAATGAGAAGAGAGAAAGAAATACATTTCGGCTCATTTCTTGGTGCCGGGGACTGATTCTTATGCATTTTTTGTGTGTTCATAGCAGTTTTGAGAATAGTACTTTTCCTGTAGCTATGACAATTGCTTATGAACCAAGTAAATAAGAGCATAGGCAGAATTGTGCCTCCTTCATGGTTCCTAATCATTTGTCTGTAATTTAATAAATCACAAAAATTATTACTCATTGAGAAAAGAAATATATAGACAATACATATTCGGGTCATCAGTTGCATTTTAGTTGGGAAGAAAAAAATGAACTCCATTTTAAAATTACATATTTAATATAGGTGCCTTGCAACATAATAGAAAATATAACTCTCATGACCAAATAATTGTGCAGTTAGGCAGAATTTTAAAATATGAAGATTTTTTAAAATTGTGTACAAATTTACCCAGCAACATGATTTTTTAATTTTGCATGCTTAGCTTTTTTCTTTTCCTCTTTTCTGCTTTAATGGAGACACTATTTTAAATAGCTCATGACATTTTATGCAGTGAACTTTATCATATAAGTGAAACTGAATGATGATAAAACTATAGAGAAATACTTAACATCCTTTCACGATTTGACTCCCAAGGCCCACGTTTTAATCGTGCTGTGCAAACTATGCCATGTGAAGGTGAAGGCTGCTAAGTTGGTCACTTGGAAGGAATGATTCTTCGGGGCATTTACCTAGGGGAGCACAGTTGTTGAATCCCTTCGCTCAGCGTCAGACATGAGGTGCACACTCATAAACGTGTGTTCGCTTCCAGTTTTTCACGATCATGTTGTTGGCTGGCAACTGTTGCTTTGTTACCTAGACACTGGCACATGACTTCGTTTTAGGCCTGAATTAGAATTAAGAGGAAAAGTGGTGCAGGGAAGAGGGAGGTTGTTTTCTCTAATTTGACTCTGACATGACAATAGGGTATCTTTTCCCACAGAGAAAAATCAAAACCCACATCCCTGTTTCCGTGTCACTGAAATCACCCATATTTTGACCAAAAACAAAGGTGTCTCAAAGTTCATAGCAAGGACACCTAGTTAACAAGACAAGCAATTCTGATTCTGTTTTTACTTCAGCGTTTAAAGGCAATGTTTCTGTTGTCTGCCTTAATTAAAGTCGATAACGTTTTCTAGGATTGTTTCCCTTTCAATTTTAAGTATGAAATATAAATATTAGAGGCTATAGAAAAGAGAAAGAATGATATAAAAGAGAGGAAGAGGGAGAAAAAAATGTACTTTGGGAACCTGTCATCTTCTTTTGTGATTCTTCATGAAGTCTTTGCCTGTAAAAAGAAATAGCTGTCTTCTATGGGGTGGTGTTCTGGGCAATATCCTATCCTCATAAGCATGTTATATAAATGATATATAAAGTAAATGCCTATTTTCACCGTTTTACTTCTGAGCAAACCTGAGGGTCAAGTAACATGTTGTGGCCACACAGATTGTAACCCGTCCAGTCAGGTTCCAGACACGGGCCTCAGTCATCACCAGAACCCTTCATGCTGCTGCTATCTGCTTTTGTATAATTACTGAGCTGAAAATTACCTGTGGAATTCAACAAACCTACTTCAGTTTGGGGGAGGCAGGCATCAAACACTTGAGGTTTTTCTGCCTTTTTTTGTACACTTCACTTGACAATATTTTTTTTCTCAGTAGATCAAAATGAAATAATTGTCACTCCAGTGAATACAGAAGATAAAATGAAAAATGGAGTGAGGAAAACAGAAGTCAATGTAGGAGGTGTTGCCAGAAATAAGAATGTGGACACAGAAGTTGACAGACTCTCAAACTATCAAGCGCATAAAACTGATACTGCTAAAAGTTACAAGGAAAATCATCGAGCTGCTTCATCAGTACAAGATCAAAAACTGAATCAGCCCAGTGCAGAAAAGGCAAAAATGCTAGATGCAGCAATTCAGACAACCCCCTTCTGTAACAGTTTTTATGGGAACCTCCAAGGTCATAATTTGTCTGATGTCAAAGTTGATGAAAGTGTGCAAACTTCAACTCACAACAAATCAAATCAGCACTCATCTTTAAGTCCCCAGGATTCTGTGGGCACCTCAAGAGAATTCAGGAGCCAGGGCCCCCTAACTGTTCACTCAGAAGATCTCTTTACCATAAAAGATACAGTTTGTGTTCATGGTAATGATGACCCTTTGCCTCTTGTAAGTGAGACTGATAAAAACTCAACTGCCTCTTATATGAAGAATTACCCTCTTTACAGACAAGATTACAGTCCCAAGCCCAAACCTTCCAATGAAATTACAAGAGAGTACATTCCTAAAATTGGGATGACTACTTATAAAATAGTGCCTCCGAAATCCCTAGAAATATTGAAAAATTGGGAATCAGAAGCCATAGGGTATGAAGATGATCAGGCGATACATACTTTAGGAAAAAAGCGCACTCACGAGAATGTGAAAGAAACTGCAATACAAACAGAGCATCTTGTTATTTCTGAGAGCCCGAAGGAGCCACAGGCAGACCTTAAAGTGAAGATCACCCCCAAAATAGAGCATCAGGAGCCCAGTGTGGACGGCTCACCTCACACTGCCCCCGGGAATCCTCTGAAACCTGCTCCCAGATTGACAAGAGACACTGGCACAGCTCCTTTTGTGCCGAATCTGGAAGATATAAATAATATTTTGGAGTCAAAACTTAAATCTTGGGTTTCAAATCCCCAGAACAAACCTAGTTCTTTTTTCTTGCAGATGCAAAGGAGGGCTTCAGGTCAGTATGTGACGTCTGCAGCCGCCAAGAGCGTCCACACTGCCTTTGATCCTCCCCCAAAGGAACCAGTAAAGAAAGAGGCAGAAAAGGATATGGTGCCTCCTCCAGAGCAAACTCCTTCTCCCCAAAGTAGAACAGCTCACCCTGCTCCCCAGCCCCACGTTAAAAACGCTGATGCTGACAGCGGTCAGAAGCCTCCTGAAACCTCTCCTCCTCCTGTAGCTCCGAAACCGGCTGCTCCTGCCAGTCAGTTAGCAGCACTCAATCTGAAGACTCTGAAAACTTTTGGTGCCCCGAGACCGTACTCGAGCTCGGCTCCTTCGCCATTTGCCCTGGCCGTCGGCAAGCGGTCACAGTCTTTCAGCAAAGTGCGTGCCCAGCCATGCAGTGAGGGCGCCGCCGCCCAACCTCCCGTGGACACAGACGGAGGGGAGACTCCTGGAAATAGACGTGTGGACATCCCACAGCCAGGTGCAAGGGATAAGGTAAATGTTACCTTTTAAAGAATAAGGCATTCTTACACAACATGGTTTAAATGGGGGCTAACAAGCATGTTGGTAAGTTTGCGTGTTTCTCTCCTCTGAATTCACATCAATCTAATATCAAGCTACTATAGGAATAAAAGAGCGGTGATACATCGAATCTGATTATTTACTCTCAGAATTATTATAATTTATATAACTTGATTGAGTGTTAGTATAAGGTCATTATATAATTGTATGATTAGCAAATATATTAAAGTTTCTTTGTTCACACATTTGCATAGTGTACTAGTTTATAGCTCTGGCTGAATTTTCCTTGTCTCAAGTTGCTTATAACTTTTATGAATGTTCTGGTTTACTTTATTTTCTTCTCCAATTCTATGCAAAAGCAAAATAAACTTTTAATTATATAGAAACATAAGCAGTATCAAAGACTAGGTAAAATAACCCAACTGTCTCTCAGCTATGCATTTTCTGTTATATACACTGAACCTCAGCTTACCAAACATTTATACATATGAATAATTTAAATTGAAACCAGAGTTTAAGTAATTTTCTTAACTTCCCATTATGTTAATCCAATGTCAACTTTTCCACTTACATGTGTGGTGACTAAAATATCATTTAACCATTATATAATAATTTACATAGAAGGTACATTTGTTGACTTAGTGTTGGATCAACTGAGTGTTATAATTTGCTAGATTCAAATAATATATTCAAAGGAGAGGATAAAAATCACAGTATGAATTATGACAATCCCCATGCAATTAAAAAAATATTTTGTGTACTTTTACTCTGATTGTGTTTAAAGAATACTTTCATATTTGTGTGACAGTTCCAGAAGTATTTCATACTACTTTTTCAAACATTCCTGGGATAACAGGACATTAACCATACTGCCATACAACCACATAACAGAACATTAACCATAAAGATTTTTCTATCAGGTTAAGGCAGTATTTGTCCTGAAGAATATTTCTTCATATATTTCACATTTATGTTTGTTACTTTGACCTAATGTCAGCAAGTGATATATGATCTAGAGATGGATTATTTACTTGTGGACAGAGTCTGTGTTTCTTCAGAGAAGGAATCCCATTCCTGCACAACAGAAGCCTGCTTTAGCTAATACAGTTTTTGAGCCATTGCCTGAGCTCTGTTTAGCTCATCTTTTATAAGGATACTTATTGGCAGTTTGAGAAAGACATTTTTAAGATGACTTGACAACAGTTGCCAGTTAAATCAGATACTAAATATTCCCTCCTAAAAAGTTTAATTAAATTTTGCTTCTTAAATTTTGAAATTCCTTATTTTTATTTTCAATCTCATTGGAAAAATTAAAAAATGATGGCCATATCATTTAGTCCCTGTGACTTCCAGAAATACAAAGTAACCTGTAACATGTAGCTCTTTATTAGATTAACTTCTTTAATCCATTAACAGACTTTTATTAGAAGATATGTGAGAGTCAATCAATATGAAAGTGCCAGTGTTTGTCCATTTCTCCTGTAAAAAAAGAATAACTTCCCATCTGAATATGTTGGAACAATGAAAATGGGTTATTGTTTAGTCTGTAGAATGTTTTTACTATTAATTTGGCTCCTCTCACCACCTGCATTGGAGGTATCAGCATTATTTGATTCCAGGATGGGAGATTTACCACTGTACTCATGGTGCAAAGAGAGGCACTGCTTTTCTCCCTTAACCTCCTGTGTTCAAGAGAAGGGGGTGTAATGCCCTCACCTCGCAGCTGAGCTCTGATAGCACACGCCATCGTTCGGTGGGTGAGGAAATAGAGCTGTGTCTTCAGCACCTCTGTGGCAAATGGTGATTCTTAAAGAACTATCGATGATGACAATTTTTAAAAAAAAATAGCCCATTCTTCACTAGGTATTCATCGAAATATTCTGCATTTATTTTTATAGGAAAATAACTCTGCACATAATGACCAGAATTCCCAAATACCACCTCCGACTCACTGCCCATCATTCATCCTTAAGAGACAGTGTTCTTTGACATTCCAAAGCTCTGACCCAGAACAGATCCGACAGAGTTTGCTGACTACAATCCGTTCTGGAGAGGCTGCTGCCAAATTGAAAAGGGTAAGTCCTCCTTATCAGATGGGTGACAGTGGTCTGATGTTCAGCATTCTCAAACCAATACTTAGAGGAACTTGTTTTCTAGCCTGTAAGTCTGAATAGGAAAGATACTTGGAGTTACTCTTTCATGTCAGGAGGCCAGTTCTGAAGTGTAAATTGAGAGAATCCAGATTCTCACACATACTTAAAAATATGTCAGGTTTATTTTCCACTACCCAGGCCAGGTGTGGAACATAGGTTTTGTTCATTATTGAATAACTATATCTAGACAATGTCCTGGATTCTTATTTTAAGAAATTGCATTAGCATAGCAAGAAAGATTCTTTGGAAAGAAAAGTTCCTCCTTATTCCAGAAAATCTGTCCTAGTGATAGGGACCTGCAAGTTTTCAGTTGTAGCCCCTACTGTGATCGAAGTTATACCATATGTGGAATTTGGAAGGGAGTGGGTTTTATAGGTCAAACAAAAAAGTGTAGGGAAAATCTAGAGAATTAGAGGAGAGCTAATGCAGAGAGTTAAGTCTCAATAAAGCCCTGAGGTGCAGGGGAGTTGCAGCAGAGGAGGTAAGCTGCTCTTTCGGGGGCAAACACCAGACACGCGTCACAGAGAATTACTCACAGGTGAGTTTCCTCCCTCTGTGGCCTCCGTCCACTAAAAGGAAGCGTGGGGAAGCTTTGAGGCCAGCAGCACCCCTCAGGCTTTGCAGAGGCCACAGTCTCCCCGAAGGTCTTTGCTGTTCTCCTCTAAGTCGCCTTGGTTGCAAGTTCCTAAACACCTAGATAAGAAAAGTGCTCATTATTCCACTGACTCTCCAGGCATTCTAGCTAGTGAACTCCTTCTTGAACCCTTTTAGAAGCTATTTAGAGAGAAGAGTATGAGACTTGTTGAGCAAGACACTGAGCTCAACAGAAGTGCAGTCTTTGAAGGAACAGGAATGCTGCGGAGACAGAAAGGGGAAGGCTTCCTGGGTGTCCCTACATGGCCGGCCGCACCCGCACTGCCAGCGTCCCCGGTGTGTTTCAGGGGGCCTGGGAGGCACGGCTGCTCTCACAGAGGGCTCAGCGCAGCCATCTAGGCAAGCACAGAGACAAGGCAAAACAGTGCCACTGGTCAGGAGTGGAGGAAATGCAAAGCAGGAATTCGGTTGACTGGTTTGGCATTTCATAGATTATTTGTGGAGTCTGAATTTAGGTACCAGGCAGCACAGCAACAAAATTTGGTATAGCCCTGAGTACTAACACTGGTACTTCACAGGTCATGACATGTATATTTTTGTGGGGAAATTTGCCCGTGTAAGTACATTGTATATTCTCATTTATGAAAATATTTCTATTTCTAATCTGGTAAATTAAGGGTCAGTTTCAAATCAGTTACTACTGGTCTAGAGCTTTCTTTATTCCATACATTTGAAAAGCATTTTTCAAGCCACTTATTGCACTAGGTACTGGGGACACAAAAATGAAGGAAAGGAAGCCTCTGCCTTCTGGGTGTTCATAGCCTGGGACTGAGGCCTGTGGGTGAACCAAGTAATTGCACAGAAAAATAAGTGCACTGCCTTTGCACTAAGTCAGTGGATATATTAATCAGTTTCCATGAACTCATTGCAGAAAACAGTGCATTAAGTTGGAAATGGCTCTCAGGCCAACAGAACTGCACAGGCAAGCCGCTGTATGCTTGGGGTGTCATGGGCTCTCATGTGTCAGTCTCCTCACATACACGACGCTCGTTGCTTCCAGAATGAGCAGGATCTGAATCAACACAGAGAGCAAGCTGTAAATGATGATCCTATAGTTTTGTCCTGTGTATAACTCATTATTTTAGGGTCTGTTGAGTCTAAATTTAATCTCTTTCAGTAGGAGGATATTGGTAGATCTAACTCTATACAGTGCCGGCTCCTAAATTTTGTTTAATGAAAATTCCCAACATAATCCATCTTATTCCACTAAAAATGGACACAGGATGTAGGAAAGTTTACAGTATTCACACCCTCAGATCAGCACTTTCGCTTCTAGTTATATACCCTAAAAATGTGTTTTTGTGTACTAGGCCACACATGTAAGAACACTTATGGACTTTTGTTTGTAGTATATCCAAATAGATAGAACCTTAGTGTCCAAAACTAATCGAATAAATAATGGTGTATTCAAAGAAAGGACTATCAAATAGCAGGAAATAGGACAAAATACAACTAAACACAATAGTGCAGATAGACAAAAATATGAAGTTTGACAACATACAAAACTAAACTATATTAGTTAGTGACATGCATAGGTGGCGATTACTTTTAAAAGCAACGGAGACATTATAAAAATCCTGATAGGGTTACTTCCAGAGGGGAAGGAGAGGCGCTGTTAGGGGCGTACTGGGGCAGGACAGGCGCACAAGCTAAGAGGGAGCCAAAAACTAAGTAATCAGATAAATCTTATCTTAACACAGTATTTGTTAAATGTCCAAATTAGTGCAAAAGTCTGTGATAAAGAAAATGTCAAACTTTTAAATAAAGACAAGTTCATTAGGGAGCTAGCGGTGTCCTTTCCCGTGGTCTGGGTGGCTGGTCATATACGTCTAACATCTGTTTGCATGTGGCTGTCAGTTCAGTGTACTCTTCTGCACATGGATCATATTTCAAAAAATTGCAAAAGGTGGTAAAAATGGACACAAGAGGCTCTAATTTCTTGTGATTTTTGCTTAAAACCCATATTTCTGTCCCATACTGAATATTTCTCCTGGTTTGTTTTAAATTCCTACATTTCTTTTTTAGAGCAACAGTGATAATGCCAGATAAAATCTCCAGTGATTTGACAGTAGGTTTAGATTGTGCATCAGAGAGGTGGCTTTGTGTTGGCCTGTACTTTGGTGCCCAAATGTTCAATTTCGCTCCAGGTACCCCCCTGCCTTCGGCTCTGGTTCAGACCCAAGCAGTTGACCTCTATAGAAGAGTTGGTTCACATTAGAGCACCTAAGTAGTTGATTGCTGTCATGTAAATGTAGTCGTGAACTTGCCATGTTTTTCATAGTTCTTAGGGTTTTTTTCCATATCTTATCCCCCTCAATCCTCATGTAGTCACAGACATGTGTCATGTCCTCATATAAAGCATTAGTAAATCTACTTCACTATAAAATGTATTTGATGTTGACATATATGTCAGTAAGCAAATTGTTTTTGGAGAATGAGGTGGATTAATCTCTAACTGTTGACTTGTGTTGACCCAAGAACCTTGGCTGCTTTTGGTTTTTAATGGTGCTTGAATTCCTATTATAAGCAGAATATAGATTTGTACAGTCTGAAGATAAACTGACAAATGATATTTAGTACTTAATAATAAGTGTTTCCTCAGAATGTAAAACTTAGCTTTGGCTAGATAGAAATCTGGAAAGAAGAAAACTGGATGAGTCAGCCCACATCTAACTGGATTGTTTTGTTTGTTTAATCGGTCTGCTTTTTTATTCCTGTTTCCTTGGTTTGAATTGGAAGAATCCAAGGGTTTCAAGACAGCAGGTCTTACCACATATTTCTGAAGTTAAAATAAACAAGTTTCATAGTTATTGCTCTTTAAAGGAATAAAAAAGCTATATAAATAGTCCTGAAAATCCTTTAAATTTCAAGGGCAGATAGTCAACCACTAGATGCTCAGAATCAGTAAATTCTTAAACATTACTTTTTAAACTACCTTAATTATAAATGTCATATGTTAATTTTTCAAAAAATTCAGGCAGTACTTTTTAACTTCATAAATATAAAAAGGTGCCATATTCCACTCAAAAAACATTAATTGATCTATACTGTGCTAGGCACAAAAATAAACATGAGTGTAGAGTGGATATAAAGTGGCATTAAAATAGACAAGGACTCTGACCTCACAGAATTTATAGAACAATATTCTAATGATGTCTTCTCATATTTAAATTTTAGTACACAAATTTAAAAAAATGAAACAAATTACCATTTTCCTTCTAAGTAAATGCCGTTGGCAGATTGCAGTGTAACTTTCCAGACCACATTTGTAGTATGTAAACATATTTAATTTTTTCACAGAAAACCCCCTGTAAAACATCCATAAACATGTCCCTGTAGAGCTTTCCACCATGGTTCATATATACCTATGTTATTCTTTTAAGGCTATATTGTATGACTATATAACTGAACCACACATAGCTTATTGGTTCCTTATTGGGGGACATTTAACTAGATTCTAGTTTTTCATTCTATAAATGGTGTTACAATGAACATCATTTACTTATAGACATTGAGAGCTATCAGTATGTTTTATAAACTCAAAACAAATTTTCTCTTTTGTTTTACAAAGAATTAGGAGAAGTGCAATTTTGGCAAGATTGCAAAAATAACCCCTCTGCACAGAGACTTTTTGGACTAAGGTGACATAACAAAAAGTCACTACCTGACTGTAGTTGGCTCTACTTGGAAAGAAATCCCATATGAATACTCCACAGGATGCAGGTGAATTTCCCTTTCCCTGCTGGCAAATATTCATGGCTATCTTATTTCAGGTGGATAGTGTCAACTACTCTATTCCATCCTAAGACAATCAAGGAAAATTGATTCGGTTAGTTGACCGGTCTTAGAGTAAAAAGCAAGAAATGAAACACCAGCAAACCAAATCAAACTAAACTTGCCAATTTTATTTTCTTCGCTAACTTTGTTGCTAGGCAGAATCTATGGCCTTTCGTACATCAGTTCTCTTCTTGTGAGAAAATGTATTTGGTTATGAATCCAAACTTGTCAAATTATAATCTGGAGACCATTTTTCTTAAAATGTCATATTTTATGTGTAATATTTCAAAATATACATATTTCTTATTCAGCATCCAGAAGATTTTTTTTTATAATGTAGGAATTTCAAGCTATTTGGGAAAATTTTTTTTTAGTGTTTCCATTCACTTAGTTTGTAAATAGGAGACCTTGACATAGGATTTTGGAATTTAAGAGTTTATTTATTGAAAAACAAACAAAACCCCTTTTTATTCTGCAATTCTTTTGACATATCAGTCACAGGTTTGACTTTTTTAGCCCTTCATATCAAAGTCTTTTAAAAACCAAAGTTTTTTTAAAAAATATTTTTGTATGTGTGTGTGTGTGTGTGTGTGTCTAGTTTTTTTAAATAAATATGGGGTACCTGGAAGGATGTTACTATATACCATCAGTACAAAAACTGTAAAATCCATCGCATTGTGGAATTCACTTTATTTTTCAATATTGTCCAAGGCACTTTGGGGATCCAGAATTAATCTAGCTAAAAATGCTCTTTAACAGCTTGGCCTGCAGTCTGTTTGTGCTTTTGTCCTTTGAGTTGATTTGGTAATTTTGCAAAGACTAAGATGTGTTAATGGATTATTTAGCTTGTTTGTTGTGGAAATAACAACTCTCTCATTTTTAATTTCATGGTAGAGTGAACATTTATTCTTGATCATTTGTAATTTATTGAGTAATAAATGCTTAATGTTAGCATTTACAATTAAGCAGAAGTTAAAATGTGCTAATTATTGAAAATTGAAAATTAGACAGCTGTCCCATTTTAAACTGATGGGTGCAAAGTGTGTTTCTTTCTCTTAGGTTACTGTTCCATCAAATACAATATCTGTGAACGGAAGGTCAAGACCCAGCCATTCCATGTCCCCTGATACCCAAGGCCACTAAATGTCACTCTGCGTTACTGTTACTTCACCACCTCCACTTCACAGAACAGCTTCATACCGATGTAGAATGTGGGCAAATGTATATTCAGATGTGCACTAATATATTATCTACTGAAGTGTAAGAATTTGTGCTTTGGCTTCTAATGCCAAAAGAAGAATTACAGAGTTTATAATTTATAATAATATTTTTGGCCCTTTTTGCCTTAAGAGCTGAATATGCTGCTTTAGAACTTTAAGACAAGGTGTTAATGATTTTCTTTTTTTTTCAAATGAGAAATAGTCACATCTTATTGATTTCATTTATTATTGAGATATTCTCTAAATGATGAGAAATAAAAGGATAAATTAAGATGCATAGACCTAATTAGTGTGACACATACATAGCTAGGCAAACACAGATCTGACATGTGTTGCCTCAATGTTACAGTTTAATTAGAAATGTTTATCAGTTATTTTAAAGCCTGTTTTATGCTGGAAGTATGATCTAGAAAACTAACATCAGGTGAGTATATGCAGTCCAACAGTTAATTTCAATGGTGAATCACTTAGTGTAGAAGTCTTATCTTGCACATTCTTTATGTAATTACAAAATCAGTGTCAAATTTATGGAAAGCTCATAGGATTGTAATATTTTGTTAACATTAAACACTTAAGTTTTTTAATCTTTAGAACTTAAATTGATCACAGAGAATCTTAACTATTTTCTGTATATAATTATGACGTTGTCATATAGGTATTATACATTTTATATGCCAGAAGCCTTAAAAATCTTCCTGTGAAAAAGTTGATGTATTGTTACAGTCATTTCATATTCAGTATGTAAAGAGGAAAAGAGGTTAGTTTTATGTCCATATTAGAAAACTTCAAAGACTACTTAGAGGTTCTAGAAATCCTGGTTTTAAGTGAAGTAAAATGAGAAAATAATGTCATTATGTAGTTCAGATGCTAATATTCTAAAAAGTAATATATGTTTGCATTAAAGCTAAAAGTGTTAAGCAAAACAATGCCTATTTTGTTGGCTTATAACTCTTCTGGGGTCTAGAGTTTGTTGATGTGCTCTTCCTGCTTTAAGAATTTAATTGTTTACTTAATGCTAAAAGCTTTGTCAAATAAGCTGATGTTAAGTTGGTTTTCACCGAAAGCTACTGAGATATCTGCCTCTTTGGAAAAATGTGTTGATTTTTTTTCTGTTTAATAAAAACAAGTTACATATTTGGGATGCTTTTTATTTTAATGCAGTTTGTATTAACCAGCATAATTGTGTACTTCACCTGATGAACACATGTCTATCAGGTAATCAAACAAATAATAGACCTACATTTATCAGGGATCCCTAGTGTACATGTAAGCCCAGGCATTCTAACTCCAGAGTGCATGATCTAAGCATGTAAAATGCTTAACATAGTTCTTACATGTGGAAAATGCACATTAAATGTTAAGTATTGCTGCCTCAACAGCCAAAAAATAACCTGATTAAAAAATGGGCAGAGGATCTGAACAGACACTTCTCCAAAGAAGAAATTCAAATGGCCAACAGGCACATGAAAAGATGCTCCACATTGCTAATTATCAGGGAAATGCAAATTAAAACCACAATGAGGGATCACCTCACACCAGTTGGATGGCCAACATCCAACAGGCAAGAGACAAATGCTGGTGAGGATGCAGAGAAAAGGGAGCCTCCTACACTGCTGGTGGGAATGTAAACTAGTTCAACCATTATGGAAAGCAATATGGGGGTTCCTCAAAAAACTAAAAATAGAAATACCATTTGACTCAGGAATTCCACTCCTAGGAATTTACCCAAAGAAAACGAGAACCCTGATTCAAAAAGACATATGCTCCCCTATGTTTATCGCAGCACAATTTACAATAGACAAGATATGGAAGCAACCTAAGTTGCTTCTATCAGTAGATGATTGGATAAAGAAGAGGTGGTACATATACACAATAGAATATTGTTCAGCCATAAGAAGAAAACAAATCCTACCATTTGCAACAACATGGATGGAGTTACAGGGTATTATGCTCAGTGAGATAAGCCAGGCGGAGAAAGACAAGTACCAAATGAATTCCCTCATTTGTGGAGTATAAGAACAAAGCAAAACTGAAGGAACAAAACAGACTCACACCAAGAAGGGACTAGCGGTTACCAAAGGAAAGGGGGTGGGGGAGGGTGGGAGGGGAGGGAGTGAGAAGGGGATTAAGGGACATTATAATTAGCAATCAAAATATAGGTAGGTCATGGGGACAGCAGTACCTCATGGAGAAAACAAGTAATGACTCTATAGCATCTTACTAGACTGATAGTGACCGCAGTAGTGGGGGTAAGGACTTGATAATATGGGTGGATGTTGAAACCACAATATTGTTCATGTGAAACCTTCATAAGATTGTATATCAATGATACTTTGAAAAAATAATTTTCAAAGCTGTAAATAAAAAAATGGAAAAAAATGTGTGGCTATTTCTTTCACATTTGAGGAGACCCTCATAATAAGGTAACTTGTGCTATGTTATAAATCAGTAAGGAAAGGAATGACTTTGAAAATTGTGTTTGATTATCCATTTGGAAAAAATTTGAGTCCCTGCCTCAAATCATAAATATATATGAGTTGAATCAAGATAATTTTTAAAGTAATATTTTAAAACTTAGATTAATATAATCAACATTTTCAGACCTCAGCATGAGAAAAATTATTGTAAAAGACAGCAGCACAGTCATAAAAGTCACAAGTTTGAGTATATTAAAACTTAAAACTTTCATATATATTAAGTACAGTTAAAAATGAAAAAATCAGCCACAAGATGTTTTTAATATATATATATAGGTTAATCTATAAAAACAAAGTATAAAAGTTCACTGCCCCATAGAAACAGGTCCATACTGAAAGAATTAAAAAGATAGTTCTGAAAGGCCAACAAACATAGGGAAGAAATACTTTTCACCAAAATCAAGGAAATACAGGTTTAAAACACAAGGGAGTACCACATAACACCCATCAAATTAGCAAAAAAGTGAGTTTCACAATAGCAAGTGTCAAAAATGATGAAGTCATAGGAACTCTTATTGTTGGTGGGAAAATACGCTGAAACAACTATCAAATTTGCAATATCTAGCAAAATTAAAGATCTCTTACTACGTTACCTTAAAGCAGTACTTTTGCAGGTACATAAGAAGACATGATCAAAAAATGTCCATGGCAGTCTCATGTATAGCAGCAGAAAAGTCCTAACCAACAGTCAACACTGGGAGTATGTTCATATGAGAGAGTTCTGGACAATAGTCAAAAAGAACAAATTAAGAGTCTTGCATGTCCACATGCATCTCACAAATAATGAGCAAGAAAAGCAAGTTAGGAACCAATGTGTGTGTTTCTGTGTTATTTTATGTAACAGTTATATGAAATATAAAATGCAAAATAATACCATATATTATGGCTGCCTATGTAGAAAAAATATACAGGTTTGCTGGTGGGAACCAAGAAATGAAGCTTAGATTGGAGAGGTTGGTAAAAGGCATCAATTTGTGTTTGGAGTTATTTAGTCAACAGCTTAAAAACAAGTACTTGTCTTTCTCCAGATTTTTGCATACTTGCCATAGTTTGTAATTAAAATAATTTTTAAAGATCACATAGGACTTATGGGGGCATGCACATGTATCAATATACATACATTCTGAAAAACTGGGCTTATCCACACTATTTCAAGAGAAAAACATGGGCTACACTCTCAGTTGGGAAGAAATTTGAAGCAATTCTATTTCCAAATAACAACAAAATGAAGATACAGCAATGATCTAGAACCAAGTATCAGTTTTTGTTTTTAATTTTTGGCATCTAGACATTTTGCTTTTCCTTTTTCCCCCTGTCAGGTTATTTCTTTATACTACATGTGTTAAAATTACCCAGTTCCTATGTAAATTTTAAGGGATAAAATGACAACCTGCTTTTCTATCTCCAGCATGTCTCCCCTCTCCAGAGATAACTGCTGTTAATGCTTTGATATGAGTCCCTTTATAGATGTGTTTATATTCCAATGCGTATGTGTAGGTTTGTTTGGGGCTTTCTCTCGTGATTCTGTGGGTCTTTCTGTTTTTGGTGGTTGCTACTGTTGTTTGTAACCAAGTCACACTCTAATACTAAAGTTGCCTTTTAAACCTGCAGTATAGTAGAAGAGCTTTTCTTATTGTACATACAGATCACTCCATCGTGTATCAGTTTGCCTTTCTCCTATTATTTGTTTCTTGCTGTAGTGCACAGTTCTGCCTATAGGCGGTATATTGGGTTCGAATCCAGGTCTGCCACTTAGAAAGCGTGGGATCTTGAGCCAATTACTTGTTTTTCTATTTGTCTCATTTTCACCCACGAAGAATTAATAATACACCTCCCCTCCATGGTAACCACTAGCCACTTTTTAATTACCATCCAAGAGGGGTTTGGGCAGGCAGATGAAATAGGTGAGAGGAAAATGAGGTGCAAAATCTCAATCATAATATAAATTAGTCATAGGGATGAAGTACACATAGAGAACATAGTCAAAAACACTGTAATATTCTGTGTTGGTAGTAACTACACTAAGGTGAGCATTTAGTGTAGATAACTGTCAAATCACTGTTACACACTTGAAACCAATATAATACTGTATATCAACTATACATCAATAAAAATTTTTTATACCTTCCTCAGAGTGATTGTCAAGATTGAAGGAATTTTAAAAGTTTGGCACATAGAATTCATTAAAAAAATTTTTAATACTCTATGATGAATACTATTTATCTAATATACTCCCCATCCTTCTGAAAAGTAACCCTTCTCTCATGTGAAGACCAGATCAGGTCTTGGCCACCAGGTGTGGGCAACCGAATCCGCACCGTGCTGCCTGACCCAGGTCATTGAATGAGACCAGTCTTTTCTCCTAAAACCTAAAATTGCTGGTGTTTGAAACAGAGTTCCAGTTGATACACTTATTTGTCTAGTGCCGGTCCATTTCCTACCCACCACCAGTAGAGACAATACAAAAAGCTTAAGAATCCAGCTCAGCTTTTTT